CATACTGCCGACTGCTCTACAGATGTCAGGCAGCTCTTAGCATCCTTTGGGGTCTACAGAGGTCCTTGTGAACCAGCAACTATAGGTACAGACCTGGAAGGGGCTCTGGGCTGACGTTTCTGTCTGTGTGGCCTTGAGAAAATACCCTAACCTCTCTGTGCCTCAGTTTCTTGTCTTCTCATTGAATGGACCACCTAGGACAGCTCAGGGTCTGGGTACAGACCTGAGTACAGGAGCTGCTGACTCCGGGCTTTTCTCACAATGAGTCAGGACTTGTGGGGACATTCTTCTAGCCCCACCCCTGCCAGAGCCCCCCCAGCTGTGTGTCTGCCTGCACGGATCAGGGATCTCAGCCCTGGATGGATGCTCTGCCAAATTTTCTTCTGCAGAATGATGTAACTAGACACTCTCTAGGTAAGACCTTGGCTGCTGACCTGGAATACACAGAGCATTGTGCTCAGCACATCAGGAATCATATCCGAAAAGGTGCTGTTTGCCCTAATAGTTCTCAATGAAATTTGGCTTTGGAAATAATTTCTGCCACACAAATCCTCAGCCACTGCCAGGTAGTGTATTCATTTTCTGCATGGCCTGCTGGTCTAGGTTGAGCCCACCCCACCCCCTACCTCCCATCCCCCCCACTTCCCATTCCTCTCCCCCCACCACTTGACTTTTAAATGCCAAATTTTCAAGGCCCATCCTCGTGCTCGTCCTCGTCCTCGGGTGGCCCAGGGCCTCCTCACCTGCCCCCCTCCTGATAGGTGCACCCAGGTGCTGTCGCTCCCAACAATCCTTGCCCCCCACCTGCCTGGGTGTGGCTTCATCTCTGGGCCTCCTCTCCAGCTCTCCCCAAGCACAGGTGTGAGTGCCTTCAAGCTGTTCTTGGGCCACTGGAACAGGGGTGGACCCAAAGCTTGGAGCTGTCGCATCTAAACACAAATGTGCAGGATGCTGTGGGAAAGCTGAGGCCAGTCAGGAGTCAGAGGTAGGAACTTGGGCTGGAGAAGGGTTTGTGGTTTTTATAGGAAGGGATGGTGGGAGGATAAGGACTCAGGATTGGTCAGTTTGAATGGTCTTCGGGCTCTGAGGCCCAGTGGAGCTGTCTCTGGTATTTGGTACTTGCCCAGGAGGAATGAAGTTAGGATCAGAGTGCTCAGAGTCCTGATAAAGGGGTGCAGAGGCAGGAAGACGTGGCTTACTACTCTAAGAGGTGGCTTGGTGTGTGTGTCCCTCCCTCCAGTCAGTGAAGTCCCAAGGAAAAGAGCACCAAGAATGGCTGAAGACAAACACTCAGCTGACACAGGGAGGAGGAGCTGTTGAGACCAAACTGGCCCGAGGCCAACTCTCTCCAACTTCCTCCTTCCTGAATGAAGGTCTTACTGGGCCGAGAGCAGGGACTGTAAGAGCTGGCTGCTTCCTCCTCCCCCTCCTCCTCCTCCTCTTCCTCCTCCTCCTCCTCCTTCTCCAGCTCCTTCTCCTCCTCCTCCTCCTCCTCCTCCTCCTCCTCCAGGGTCCCGACACCTCCAGGGTGGGATTCCTTCAGGCCATCCCTGACTCCTGATGCTGCAGGTCACCACAGAAGCAATGTGACATCTCGCATGCTACACCTGTGAGCTGCTGCCCAATGCGGAGTAAGCTCAACTCCTGTTGGCTTCTGGCATTCATGTGACCCCAGCCTTGAAGGAAAAACACTCCATCATCAAATTAACTGAGACTGACTGAGTCTAGAGGCCACACACTGGTTGCTGGGGAAGGAGGAGGGCCAAGCAGAGACCCTCAATGCACACAGGCTCTAAGAGTGGCCTCCCCGAAGCCTGGGAAGTGCAGGTGGGACTCAGGGTCCGGGCTTCAATGCTCTAGGGGGCTGAAAGAATAACACAGCTCATGACAACACAAGACAAGCTGAGGTCACATGTCAGGCTGACAGGTCAGCTCTAATTTTCAACTTCTATGATCAGGAAGTAGCTGAGGAGAGAGCGAGGCCTCCGCAGTGAAAGCAGGACCAGTAGAGGGATGATGCTCACACCTGCATCTGAGCCCAGCAGGGAGGGGAGGGAGCAGGGGCATCTTCCTGGGCCACTGGCTGCCAGGCCCTGTTCCCTGTCCTTGCAAACACAGGCCTAGAGCCCCAACAGCACTCCCTGCAGGGCTTGGGCAGGGAACCAGGGTTACAGAGGTGTTCTGGAATGTCTGGCTGCTCCAGCGGTGACATCCTCTTCCCAAGAACTCTGTCCTTCCAGAGTAGCCCCAGTGGACCCTGCGTCCTGAGGTAGTGTGTCAGGGTGGATTCTGGCCTGGCCTCGGACTGTTTCCTTCTTGGGGCCCAAGCCACCCAGATCTGGCTTTGTTTGAAAGCTCTGGAAGGGCTGCCTTGGAGTGGTTGGCCTCAGGGTCATGCAGGGTGGGGGCTGAGGTGGGACTGGCCAGAGCTCCAGGTGGGGTTCTGTTGGCTCTGAAAGCAGAAGAGGAGGTGTGGCTGGGTGAGGTGAGAGCTGGTACTGGCAGGGCAGGGGACATGGGGCCAAGGCTGAACTGGCCTGGCCGGAGCCTGGAGGCTCAGCTTTGGACCTGACCGATGTTCACCTGGTCCCAGTCCCCAACAAACTGCCAGATCTCAAGGCAGGGTTTGAGCAGACTCTATGCAGAATTTGGCCTTGAGGCCACAAGCCCACTGCCACACCCATGATGGGGTCAGGGCAGTGGGCTCTTCCCTGGAGACCTTAGAGGAGGCTGCAGTGTGAGCCACCCCATAGAAGGTACTCTGTTCACTAGGCCAGATGGGAGGAATTTAGAGCTGTCCCCAAATCCTTTGACGCTGAGGACAGGCTCTGTGTGTGTGTGTCCCAAGGCTTTCTATCTATTTGTACCTCAGATGAAGCAAAAGAGCCTCAGGAGGTAGGGTGAGGGCACCTGCATCAGCTTCTGTCCAGCAAGGTGGGGAGTGTGGGCAAGGGGTCCAGGGACTGACGTTTATGCACCGACAACTTCTCAATAGTCACGAGCTGCTACTGAACCCTTCCAACTCTCAGGGTTCTCATCTGTAGCATGGGACCCATTTCACATTACTAAAAGGACTTGCTGAGAGGAATGCCTAGGAGATCAGTTTGTGTTTTTCCTCCTCGGCCTTCCTGAGTCTAACAGAAGTGCGTGTCCGGAGCTAAGAGCATGGTTTGTGGGCAGGCAACTGCCCTTTCTATTTTCATTTCCCCAAAAGGATGATCCTGTCCTGGAGAGGGAGAAAGAGAGCCATGCAGGCTCTTGGGTTGCATGGGAAGGCGATAAGGTCCTTGGTGAGCCCAGTTCCCAGGATTCCTGAACCCAGACCTGCCAGGGATACGCACTGGGGCAAAGGCCACACTCAGCCCCACACTGCCTGCACAGGGTGTTCAGGGTAGAGCTGACTGCAGCATGCTGGGTAGGGGAGTTGTGACTCAAATTCAGAATGACAAGCTCCACCGTGGCGGAGACCCAATTATCTTCCTCTTCCTTCTTTTTTTTTTTTTTCTTTTGTCTTTTGAGATAGGATCTCACTGTGCAGCTCAGGCTGTCCTTGATCTCACTTTGTAGTGCAGGCTGGTCTCGAACTTGCAATGATCCTCCTGCCTCAGCCTCTCAAACGCTGGGATTATAGGTGTGCACCACCATGCTCAGCTAGAAGGGTTTTTGTTTTGTTTTTACCTTCCTTCCTGAGGTATGGAGTCAAAGGGGCCCCTTCCTAGGCACTTGGTCTAAGGTATAGGATTCACGCTGGACCTGGAGTGTTGTGACAAAATGAAGCTCTGTGGGGATTCGAAAGATGCTGGATTTGATGCAAACTGTTTTGCACATAAGAAATTGCTTGGCTGTCTTGTTTCACAGATGAGGAAGCAGAGGCAGAGGGAGATTGAGGAACTTGCCCACAGTGATGTGGAGGTGGCAGCAAGCCGGGCTGAGCACATGCAGGTGGGCTCTGACCCTTGCTCCCAGCTACCCATACCATGAGCAGAGATGCCTCGGTAGGTGGCTCTGGGTTCAGCACTGTGCCCCCGTCTGCACTTGAGCAGCTCTCCTGCCTGCTGTGGGAAAGCCTGCCACAGTAGAGGCATGGTGGGGAGAGACCCAGGTTCTCAAGTGCTAGGCCCTGTCCTGGAGGATGGGGCCGTGCTGCCAGCAGGTAGAATTGCTCCAGCTGTGGGCAGAACTGCTCTCAATGGCCTCTCTGCCCATGTAGCATGCTTCACCTTGGGGTCCAGGGAACCTCTGTGGTTGCCAGCTTTTCCAAAGCCCTGGACAAGTATGCAATGTGCAGGCCCCATCTCACAGCCTCGCCAGCAGCCCCATGGGCTCCTAATGTCCTGCCTCTGAGCCTTCTGTGCCTCCCCCTTCAAGGACATTTGAATGTGAAAGAATCTTTGCAGCCATGTGGGTGGAACCTCCAAGTGCCCCATCCACCCCAAGCCTTGTTCTGAGAGCCTGTTGAGGGCTCAGACGTCACCATTCTTCTACTTAAACTCCTAATGACAACATGGCCACAAGGATGCTGCTGGCCATTGTGGCTAGTGTGGGGCATTGGGCTTTGGGCAGCAGTGGAACCGATGGCATCCTGAGGGTCTACACTCACAGCCCTTCACAGGAGCCCAGGTGGATGTGGCTTGTCACCAGGCACTCTAACCACTGTGCCCCGGTAGCATGTGTCCTGTCTTGCAGCAATGAGTCTTGGCCTGCCGTGGCTCCTATTGGGATTCCCTTGGCTGCTGGTCCCTCACATCCTGGCCCAGGTGCCTTCTCTGTTCCTGGTCCCCAACAGGAGTCAGGCAGACTCTGATTGTAGGCTGTGGTTTGGGGGGTCTGGAAGACATTTTCTCCTGTGGCTCAGCCATTGAGGACTTCCTAAGCCAGCTTCCCATTTGGGGACCTTGGCAGCCTGTAGAAGAGGGAGGGGCAAGGGGAACTGAGGTGGGCCACTGTGCTCTGCAGGGGAGGTGCCCGCAGCCAGCAGGAGGGGAGGGAGGATGAGCTAGCGGAATCTGGCCTGGACTTGCTGCCTGGCTGGCAACCTATCTCTTCCCTGTCTCCTCTCTGCATCAAAGGACTATGTGTGTAACATAGCAGCTCTCACAGGTTCTGGAACACAAGACAGCACCCGGAGCTTTCCTCAGAGGACCTTCCTAGGCCCTCCAGAGACCTGGCCTCCAGTCTGGCCTTTCCAGAAACTTCCTGGGGACCTGGTGCATGGCAAAGGGAAAGGCATAAGGAGTGGGACCAGGTCATCAGCAAAGTCCTCTTTCCAAGTCCTCTGATCCCACTCTGGCTCCTCCCCCAGGACCCCCAGGCTGGAGCTCTGGTCAGCTCTTGCAGGGCCTAGGCAGTCACCTCCATGAGGCCCCTGTGGGAGGCCTCCCTCCTGGCTCCTAGCTCAGCTTCGTCCCCCAGCGCCCGCTGGAGCACCAGCCGGAAGGGCTCCCGCAAACCCTGGCCACGAGCACTACCCAGACAGAAGTAGATGACGGGCTTGGCTGCACTGTGCATGCCAGCCGTGAGAAAGCTGAGGTGGTAGAAGTAGTGAGGGATGTGCCAGTGCAGGTTCCGGGACAGCCAGTAGATGCCAAAAGGCAGGCCGCAGAAGAGGAAGAGCAGGACGGTCAGGAGGACCAGGGCAGGGAAGCCACGGGGTTGGTGCCGCTGAGGCCCGTGCTCCATCCGCAGCAGGAGGAACAGGCTGGACACGCACATGGCGCAGCACAGCACAGCCAGCAGGGCTGCCAGCACCACCCACAGTGTCCAGCACAGGCGGCTGCTGGACTCCCCAAGGAAGAGGGTGCAGGCCCCCGTAAGCATCAGGTCCAGGAGCAGGCAGAGCGCCCAGATGAGCGCACACACGCAGGTGGTCAGGTGGCGCGGGCGGCGGCACAGGTACCAGGCGGGGAAGAACGTGGCCAGGCACTGCTCCGTGCTGATGGCCGCCAGCAGGCTCAGGCTTACGATGTAGCAGAGGAACCTGAGCGTGGCCAGGCTGGTCTGGATGAAGCTCGGGAAGTCCACCTGGCCAGGCAGCAGGTCGGAGACCACAGCCACCATGTGGCAGCCGAGGAAGATAAGGTCTGCGCAGGCCACGTCCAGGAGGTAGATGGAGAAGGGGTTCTGGTAGGCGTTGCAGCTGAGCAGCCAGAGGACCACGCCATTGCCCAGCAGTCCGCCCAGGCTGAGGAGCTCAGTGAGGGACAGGATGGCTAGGTTGAAGGCCACGTCCTCCTGGACACTGGTGGAAGAGCCCTCGTGCTTCGGGGCTTCTTTCAGCTCCATCATCAGCTGAGTGCGAAGTTGGTGGGCAGCTGGGAGGCTGAGGGCTGGCAGGGCCCCTTCCTGTGTCAGCACCCCTGCAGTGACAATGACATCAGAGTTGTAAGCCCAAGAACCTGTGCTCTTACCCTGCCCACTTCTGAGGAAAAGGGGAATCAGGGGTTGGAGCATATGGGGTGTCTACTGCAGGAGGCACCCTTCTTGTTTCCACTTCGGTCACCTGACTGCCCTGCTCCCTGACATGCTAAGGAATACAAAGCTCCCAAGCTATCATCCAGGCAAGTCCCAGCAGGCCAAGCAGACGTTGCCTGGGAGGTGTGGGGATGGGGGCTGAGACCTTTGTGGCTCCTGCAGGTTCATGAGTTGGGTCTCCTTTGAAAGGGGAGGCAGTGCTGTGCCCAGTGAGTGGAGTGACCCTAGAGGGACAACTTGTCATCATCTTAAGCAGCTTGTAATTTGTCCAGGACGTCCTTTGACATTCTGAGTGGGGTTGTGACCAGTGGGCCCTGGGTCCCCCAGCCTGAGTACTCTGGGGTCCTAGAACCCCTTCTCATTCCCCTTGGCCCTTGACAGAACTCCAAGCCTCTCACACCTTGGGAGACTCCCTCTTCCCTACCTGTAGCCCTCTGTCTCTAAGAGGAGAAGACGGACCTGTCTGATGGTGTGCTTGGGTGGGGCCCTCACTTTCTGCTGCCCTTTCTCCACAGTGGTTGGCTCCTGAGGGCCCTGCATGCTGAAGGGGCTGGGCTCCATGAACCCTCCCTGGCCCTCAGCCGGAGCCTAGCTCATCACCCCAGCTTTCTCAGTGATACAGCAAAATACTGAACTTTATCGGGCTCTCTGGAGCTCCGTCCACAGTCCACATATGGTCACCTGTCTACAGGTGACCTCAGTCTCAGGTTCACATGTAGCCATCTGGGTGCCTGTGCTTACCTGTTTCATCCAGCTCCATGTAGCTACCTGTCCTATCCCATCACTGGCAGTGACCTGTCCCCAGCCTCCCACCTGTGATTGTCTGTTTTCATCAAGCACTTGGTACCTGGAGCTGGGGAGATGGGACAGGGCCTTGCCTCTCCTCAGAGGTGAGCTGTGGTCAGGGCTGATGCCTGGGTGCCCCCTCCTGCCTTGGTGGTGGCTGTTCCTCTGGTTACCTGGGAGGGGGTGGGGTGTACAAAGCTAGCTCCTCCCTCAAGGCCATGATTGAGTGTCCTGCGCTCTCCCTCCAGGATAGGAGTAGCAGTGGCAGTGACAGCATAGGCAATAGAGTAGGGATGGGACTCTGGCCATATATTGAACACAGTGTACAGATCCTGGTCACCTCTTCCTGTCCAGAGTTTCTGCTGTCAAAACTAGACCAAAGTGAAATGACAGGACTCGGATGGGGCCACTCAGTGAAGAGGCAACCTGGATCCTGCTACCCCAAGAAGCTGTGCCCTCTTGGGCCCAGTCTGGATCTTCCAGCCTGCAAGGCCCTCAAGGTGGGTAAACCTCTGGGTAGAAAAGCCAGCCTCACTCCTGGTGGGATGCTCTGGCAGGTGCATGTGCCATTGGAAGGACCATGGGGGACCTGGTTGGTGGAGTGGTTCTGCCTGGGCTGGCACCTGGCAGGAGACACTGCTGGCACAATTGGACGAGAACAGGACAGATGCTCAGGAAGCTTGGGCGGGGTTGCCACACTCCAGCCAGGGGCGAGATCTTAAGTGTACTGTCAGGAACCCCCATCCCAGCTGTGCCGTCCTGCCCACCCATCCTGGAGAAGCCTGCAGGACCCAGGGAAGCTCTGGCCCCAAATGACGGTGGGCTTCCCCAGCCTTGTGATCCGCATGTGGGACTTGGGACCCCTCCTCTGGCAGCTGGCTTCTTACCTTGAGCACCCAAATGGGACTGCACTGCCAAGGACCTCCTACAGCTGGCCGAGGAAGATGGTCATGTGGGTCCCAGGGAAGGCCAGGAACAGAAGCAATGGATTGGGGGTGGGGCTGAGCAGAGGGTGAGGGGAGGTCAGACAGGAAGTGGAGGAGGACAGGGTTGGGGGTGGGTGACAGGGAGGGTAGGGCTCAGTCAGGCTCACTGGTCTCTCTTCCCTGGGGCCCTGCTGCTGGGGGCTTTGTGGGGGACCATCTACCCCCCAGGAGGTTTGGAGAGGGCTCAGAAGGTGGGGACCCCATACCAGGACACAGAAGCCTAGAGGAGTGGAAGAGCTGGCTGAGGGGGAGGAAAGGGGAAGGAGGGCAGGGAGTCGGAACAGGGAGGAGCCTGGCCTTGGCTCTGTCACTAGCACACCCAGGAGAGTTGGGAGGGGCGTGAGTGTGGCTCTGCTGTTGGCAGATGGGCTTTGGAAGCCCCCCTCCTGGACAATCAGGACCGAGGGGCCATGACACTGTCCAGGACAAGTGCTAGGGTGTGGCTGTCTCCTTGGAATCAGGGTCAGCCCCCACCTCCGGCACAGGACACAGCAGAGCACAGGGGAGACAGCTAGTAGAGGGGGAGACGCTATTCAGCTGCGCTCCCCTCCTGGAACACAGCCCAGGGCTGAGCGTGGAGGAGCAGGTAGAAAGTGTCTGTCCTTTGAACAGTGTCACACAGCTGTCCGGCCCCGCCCCTCCCCCAACCGGCCAGCAGAAGAGCTTGGCTGCCTAGGAAAAGTCGAGCTGCTGGACTGACCCCAAGGCCCGCCCTGTCCAGTGCTACTCACCACTGGGTCCTGCCTGCCTCAGCCCCTGGCTGCAAAGCTGAGCTGGCCAGGCCGAGGGCTCCAGTCGCCAGAGCTGTGGGCCGCTCCTGCCTGTTGTAGGCCAGCCCCTGGAGTCACGTGGTGTGCGGCTGGGATAGGGCTGCTGGGGAAGGAGTCTCTCTGGGGACCGTCTCCTCCTGCTTGGCTTGGATCCTGCCCAGGTGCGGACAGCAAGAGAAACTGGGACCCTCGCTGCAGCTTTCCAGACAGGCTTGGCAATCAGAAAAACTACAAGATTTCAAAGTGGGGCCAGGCCAATCGGTGACCTCACCGGCACTCAGAGACACAACCCCAGGGAGGTCTTTTAGGGACCACTGCTCTCCACTCAGAATGATTTTCATGTTTTTTAATGTTTGATATTACTTGCAATGTCTCATTTAATCTTTTCCTTTTTATTTATTTATTTTTTGGGCGGAACCGGGGATTGAACTCAGATCCTTGCATTTGCCAGGGAAGCACTTATTCTACTGAGCCATCTCCCCAGCCCCTCTCCACCCGTAATGTAGAGGGGTCCAGACCACTGGTGGATCTTGTCTTTGCCCTGAAAGTGTTTGTGTCTCTTCTGAGCCCCGAGGCTACCAACTTGCCTCCTCCAGGGCACCCAGGATATGCTGGGGTACAGGGTGATGACAGCCCAGAAGGCACCTTCTTCCCCGCTGGTCCCTCAGCCCCGGGATGCCAGACAGCTGGTGTTGAGAAGCTGCTGCTCCCAGAGGAGGATGGGGGAGGCACAGACTCATGTCCAGTGATACACCGTGAGTTCAGTGGTACCTGCTTGTCTGAAAAGGGAAAAATCCCTTTGAAACTCTGCTGCCCTGCTGTCAGGGGGAGACCGCGGCTGCCAGCGGAGAGACAGAGAACAAGTGCCTGTTTTGGCTTTTGATCTCCAATTGCCTGAGTCTTAGCAACTGTCCTCAATTTTATTTTATTTTATTTTATTGTATGTATGTATGTATGTATGTATGTATGTATTTATACTAAGCTACAACCCCAACCTTTTTTATTCATTTATTTTCAAGATTTATGTATTTGGTACAGAATATCGTTATGCAGTTCAGACTCGTAGTGATCCTCCTGTCTCAGCCTCCCCAGCAGAGATTATAGGTGTGCGCCACCACCAATGGGGTTCCGTGGATTGAACCCAAGTCCTTGTGCTTGCCAGGCAGGTGCTTAGACCGCTGAGCTATCTCTCCAGTCCTGTCCTCAATTTTTTGTTAGGAAAAAAATTCTCAAATTTTAGGAAGCGTCACTAGAACAGCACGAATATCACCGCATGCCAGTGTTTTCCACACCTGTGCTGTCTAGCCACCTACCTGTTGTAGAACCAGGTTGGAGCAAGTTCGTGACTTCGGCCTTTATTCATGCCCGTGGACATCCCCAAGAGCACCGCCTCCTGCATAGCAAAGGCAGCAGCCACACTCAGGACACTGAACGCTGGCGCAGTGCTGGCGTCTACTATGCACTTGTGCTGTCTGCGAGACTTTGGTCTCTCCGCTTCACAGCATCGCTTCCTTCGCTGGTGTCAGCCAGAAAAGCTAGGGCCCTGCAGCACGCACCTGGGCTTGGCCGGCCACTCCCTGCAAAGATCTGCCCACAGGGGGCACTGCAGGAAGCTGTGGAGCTGCAGAGGGGAGGGTCTTCCTCTTTCATTTCTTTTCACTGTGGGTGGCCCGGCATTGATTGCAATTTGTTTGCACGGCACTTGGGAAACCAGCTCCTTGTCTCCCATCTGAGACCCTGGCCGGCTTGGGCTGGATGCCACTCCTCAGAGGTCTGGGCTGCAGCTCTGGGGACCCATGGTTTCTGACTATTAATCATTCTATTCTCCTCCCTTTGTTTCCTGGCTCTGGGGTGGCCGGTCTTCAGCTGCTTCTCTGTAACACTGTCACACACTTTTTTTTACCTTTTTGAGTCTTCAGTATCTAGGGAGAAATTCTTTAAAAATCTACCTTGTTAAAATGACATTAGCGGGCTGGTGAGATGGCTCAGTGGTCTAAAGCACCCACTTAGAACAAGCTTAGCAAAGCACAGGGACCGCGGTTCAATCCCCCAGCACCACATGCCAGCCAGCCCTGCCCCCTGGTGGGCTGAGCTGGCACCCCCCACAAACACACAATAAATAAATAAATAAACTTTAAAAAAAAAGAATATAAAAAAAAATGACATTAGCTCTCACCTGTTGGTACTCCTGCTGGTGTTGACATCGTGTCAGAGAGGTCCTAGCAGAACGTGGCTATTGAACGAGGGCTGGTGGTGTCCTTGACTGTAGGGA